AAGGTAAGGACTAGAAAAAGTGCTTGCGTGTGTGACTGCTGACCTGCTAGGGGCATTGCGTGAGTGTTGGGACAGACTCCAGATGGGAGGAGTTGAAGGAGTGAAGGGGTGGTGAGCTGAGTGGAAAGCGTGAGCTGGGATAGCCCTTTCAAAAGGCTCCAGGAAGTCACAAGCAGAGTGGGCCAGGCTCTGAGCTCCACAAGCGTGAGTGAGGTGAGAAAACCCCCATTTGCTGAGCTCAAGCTGAGTCATCCCATACATACGAGCACATCATATAGATTTCCTCATTTCCTCCTCCCACAACCCTACGAGGCAACTGAGAACATATCCATTCTGCTAACAAATAATATGAATTTCAAAGAAGCTTGCTTTCTTTTGTTTTATATTTTATATATGAAATGGAGTCTTGTTCTGTTGCCCAGGCTAGAGTGCAATGGTATGATCTCGGCTCACTGCAACCTCTGCCTCCTGGGTTCAAGCGATTCTTTTGCCTCAGCCTCCCAGGTAGCTGGGATTATAGGTGCCTGCTGCCACACCGGCTCTAATTTTTGTATTTTTAGTAAAAAAGGGGTTTCACCCTGTTGGCCAGGCTGGTCTCGAACTCCTGATCTTAAGTGATCCACCCACCTCAGCCTCCCAAAGTGCTGGGATTACAGGCGTGAGCCCCGGAGTGCAGCCTGTTAGCATCTGTTATAGAGACAGGGGTCTCATTCTGTTGTCCAGACCAGTCTCTAACACCTGTCTTGAAGCAGTCTTCTCAGTTCAGCCTCCCCAGGTGCTAGGAGTAGAGGCGTGAGCCACTGTACCCACCCAGTTTTCTGTTTATTAAAATATTAGTAGGCTGGATATGGTGGCTCATGCCTGTAATCCCAGCACTTAGGGAGGCTGAGGGAGCAGGGTCATTTGAGTCCAGGAGAAGGATTGTTTGGGTCCAGGAGCACAAGGCCAGCCTAGGCAACATAGGGAAACCCCAACTCTGTAAATCATTTTGAAAAGCAGGCAGGCATGGTAGTGTGAGCCTACGGTCTCAGCGACTTGGGAGGCCAAGGCAAGAGTATCACCTGAGTCCAGAAGGTTGACGCTGCAGTGAGCTGTGATCATCCCACAGTACACCGGGCGGGCAACAGAGTGAGGCCCTGTCTCAAAAACACAACAAAACCGAAAAGAAATTAAAATATCGGTAGATAGACCTCCTAATGAAGCGAGGGCACTCTTCTGCAGCTGTTCTCCACAGGACTGTTCCTATTTCCTTCTCCGCAATCCACGTAGCATCCACAGTACGTGGCTTTGGTCACCTCTAAGCCACCTAGGTCCCATTCCATTGCCAGAGGAGCACTGGCTGGGAGGATGATGCGTCCAGACGACACCCCAGACACTGCTCCCCTCAAAATGGCTTTCAACCCAAAAGAAAAGAAAAGCCTGGGTGTGGTGGTTCACGCCTGTAATCCCAGGACTTTGGGAGGCTGAGGCAGGTGGATCACAAGGTCAGGAGTTCCAGATCAGCCTGGCCAATATGGTGAAACTCCATCTCTCCTAAAAATACAAAAATTAGCTGGGCTTGGTGGCAGGCGCCTATAATCCCAGCTACTCGGAAGGCTGAGGCAAGGGAATTGCTCAAACCCAGGAGGCAGACATTGCAGTGAGCCAAGATCATGCCACTACACTCCAGCCTGGTAACAGAGCAAGATTCCGTCTCAAAAAAAAAAAAAAAGAAAAGAAAAGAAAAAAATGATCTGGGCTGGGCATGGTGACTCATGCCTGGAATCCCAGCACTTTGGGAGGCAGAGGCGAGTGGATCATGAGGTCAGGAGACCGAGACCAGCCTGGCCAACATGGTGAAACCCCATCTCTACTAAAAATACAAAAATTAGCTGTGTGTGGTGGCTCACGCCTTTAGTCCCAGCTACTGGGGAGGCTGAGGTAGGAGAATTCCTTGACCTGGACCCAGGAGGCGGAGGTTGCAGAGAGCCAAGATTGTGCCACTGCACTCCAGCCTGGGCTACAGAATGAGACTCCATCTCAAAAAAAAAGAAAGGCCGGGCACGGTGGCTCATGCCTATAATCCCAGCACTTTGGGAGGACAAGACAGGTGGATCACAAGGTCAAGAGATCGAGACCATCCTGGTCAACATGGTGAAACCCCGTCTCTACTAAAAATACAAAAATTAGCTGGGCATGGTGGCGCGTGCCTGTAGTCCCAGCTACTCAGGAGGCTGAGGCAGGAGAATTGCCTGAACCCAGGAGGCGGAGGTTGAGGTAAGCCGAGATCACGCCATTGCACTCCAGCCTGGGTAACAGGAGTGAAACTCTGTCAAAAAAAAAGAAAGAAAGAAAGAAAGGTTCTTTAGTGCAGAACACTGCATACCTGCTGCTTAATAGTCACACCTGACAGCATACCTCTTTTTTAAGACAGGGAAAGAGGATGAGGCCACTTATCTCTTCAGTGATGCCATTATTTTTATTTGTTTTTTATTCATTTATTTTTTTATTTTTATTTTGAGATGGAGTTTTGTTCTTGTTGCCCAAGCTGGAGTGCAATAGCGTGATCTCAGCTCACTGCAACCTCCATCTCCCCCCGGGTTCAAGTGATTCTCCTGCCTCAGTCTCCCGAGTAGCTGGGATCACAGGCATGTACCACCACACCCAGCTAATGTTTGTATTTTTTTTTTTTTTTTTTTTTTTGAGACGGAGTTTCGCTCTTGTTACCCAGGCTGGAGTGCAAGGGCGCGATCTTGGCTCAACGCAATCTCCGCCTCCTGGGTTCAGGCAATTCTCCTGCCTCAGCCTCCTGAGTAGCTGGAATTACAGGCACGCGCCACCATGCCCGGCTAATTTTTTGTATTTTTAGTAGAGACGGGGTTTCACCATGTTGACCAGGATGGTCTCCATTAATGTTTGTATTTTTAGTAGAGACAGGGTTTCACCATGTTGGTCAGGCTGGTCTTGAACTCCTGACCTTGTGATCCACCTACCTCGGCCTCCCAAAGTGCTAAGATTACAAGTGTGAGCCACCTCGTCCTGCGTGTATTTTTAGTTGAGATGAGGTTTTGGTATGTTGGCCAGGCTGGTCTCCAACTCCTGACCTCTGGTGATCCCCCAGCCTTGGCCTGCCAAAATGCTAGGATTATAGGCGTGAGTCACCATGCCTGGCACAGGGGGTTAATTTCTAAGGCCTTGTGATATTGAGAAATACATTTTGTTTTCATCAAATTTCCTGGCATACAACTTCTTAAAATTCTTGGAATTTTCTTTGTTTTTGTTTTTGAGATGAAGTCTCACTCTCTTGCCCAGGCTGGAGTGCAGTGGTGCAATCTCAGCTCACTGCAACCTCCACCTCCTGGGTTCTCATGATTCTCCTGCCTCAGGATCCTGAGTAGCTGGGACTATAGGTGCCCACTATCACACCTGGCTAGTTTTTGTATTTTTAGTGAAGACAGGGTTTCACCATGATGGCCAAGCAGCTATGGGACTCCTGACTGCAGGTGATCCACCTGCCCTGGCTTCCTAAGGTGCTGGGATTACAGGCATGAGTCACCTGGCCTGGTGATAAGTGTCTTTTTTAACGTTCATGAGTTGACCGATGGCTGGCAGTCCCTGGATAGCTTCTGGATGGGGGCTGGTCACCAGAAAGACAAAGGTGAGATTAGAGGGTTGGAATTTTTAGCCCCACCTCCAGCCTCTGGGGAGGGTAGAGGGGTTGGAGGTTAAATTGATTATCAGTGGCCAACGGTTTAATCAATCTTGCGGATGTACTAAAACCTTTATAAAAACCCAAAAGGCCTAGGGTTCTGATTTTTGTTATGAGAATATAGGAGAAATGGCATTTGTTCCCTCTATGTATGACTAGAGGCCCATTTTCTTAACTCTAAAAGGGAGATCTTGGGGGCAGTTGTTCTTCCTTCCTTCTTTTATCCCAGAGAAAACTAAATGACAAAATATACCTACCAGAGTGTTGTACTTGGACTTCCTTGTGACAACTCTGGGTTTGTTCGGGTTTTTGCTTGTTCGTTTGTTTGAGATGGAGTTCCATTCTTGTTGCCCAGGCTGAAGTGCAATGGTTGGACCTAAGCTCACTGCAACCTCCACCTCCTGGGTTCAAGTGATTCTCCTGCCTCAGCCTCCCAACTAGCTGGGATTATAGGCTCCTGCCACCACACCTGGATAATTTTTGTATTTTTAGTAGAGACGGGGTTTCAGCATGTTGGCCAGGCTGGTCTCAAACTCCTGACCTCAGGTGATCTACACACCTTGGCCTCCCAAGTGCTGGGATTACAGGCATGAGGCACTGCGCCTGGCCGACAACTCTGGGTTTTAATCCAAACTGCATCTCTGTAGCTGTGTGCCCTCGGCCAAATCGTTTCACCTTTTTTTTTTTTTTTTTTTTTTTTTTTTTGAGGCAAGTCTTACGCTGTTGCCCAAGCTAGAATGCAGTGGTGCAATCTTGACTAATCACAACCTCCACCTCCCAGGTTCAGGCGATTCTCCTGCCTCAGCCTCCCAAGTAGCTGGGATGACAGGTGCTCACCACCATGCCCAGCTAATTTTTGTATTTTTAGTAGAGACAGAGTTTCACTATGTTGGCCAGACTGGTCTCGAACTCCTGACATCCTGATCTGCCTGCCTCAGCCTCCCAAAGTGCTGGGATTACAGGTGTGAGCCACTGCGCCCGGCCTCACTTCACCTTTCTTAGTATAGGTTTCCTTCTGTGAAAAGGGCACGGACCATGGTGAGAATTACACAGCACACTTCAGGCTGAGGTGGATACATCTTGGACTCCTCTCAAGGTGGTTCTCTACTGAAGTACAGAAACGTCGCCAGCATAAGGCAGTTTTACGTCTCCACGGTCCGCTGCCTAGCCAATGATTTTATTACAAACCCTAATTTCTTTTGCAAAGAAACATCTTGAACTGGTCATGAATAAAGTGGCTTTTCTCTGACCAGCAAGTAGGTGGCGATTCCATTTCCACCAGAACTGACCTCGTGCTGCTCGGGGAGGGGGAGGCGGGTGAGCAGAGGCCTGATGTCACTCAGCTCTACATAAGGGCCCCCTGCAGGCTCCTGCAGGCAGTTTGGAAGCAGCTGGAGGAATGAATTAGGTTCCTGGTTGCAGTACTTTTGTTCTTCTTTTCTTTTCTTTCTTAAAACAGACAAAGCTGTTGAGTGAAATGCCGCCTCCACAGAAAATCCCAAGCGTCAGACCTTTCAAGCAGAGGAAAAGCTTGGGTAAATTTCTTGGGGTACCTTTCTGGGTTACTCGAAAGAGAGGAGAGGATCTGGCTTTCTCTTGATGTTTGCTTATTCTCTTGTGCTTGAAATATTCACAGCAATCAGACAAGAGGAAGTTGCTGGAATCTGGGCAAAGTTCCCAAACAAGATCCCGGTAAGACATCATTGTACTTCCCTTGTTGGGGGCGGGGTTCTGATCCTGTCCTTTGAAAAAACCAAGACCAGCCAACAACTTCCCTCTCTCTGTTCCAAGATCCTAAGACTCAGAGAACTCTGAGTCACATTCTTAAGGACTGACGCTCTTGACAGGTGATAGTGGAGCGCTACCCCAGGGAGAAGTTCCTGCCCCTGCTGGACAAAACCAAGTTCCTGGTCCCGCAGGAGCTGACCATGACCCAGTCCCTCAGCATCATCCGGTAGGTGGCGCAGAGCGTGCCCGGGAGGAAGGTGTCGGGGGTGTGTGGGGGCTCTTCTGTTTCCTTCGTTAGGTGGTTTTATTTGGGGGATGGGGGTATGTCAGGGAAAGAGAGGAAAGAGATTTTTTTGAAGTCATCTTTCAGATTCACTAGTGCCCTGAAAAGATGCTCTTAGAATAATTCTATTTTAAATCCGGGTGCACTGACTCATGCCTGTAATCCCAGCACTTTGGGAGGCTGAGGTTACGAATTCGAAACCAGCCTGGCCAACATGGTGAAACCCTGACTCTACTAGAAATACAAAAATTAGCTGGGCGTGGGGGTGCACGCCTGTAATGACAGCTGCTCAAGAGGCTGAGGCAGGAGAATCGCTTGAACCTGGGAGGCAGAGGTTGCAGTGAGCTGAGATTGCACCGTTGCACTCCAGCCTGGGCAACAAGAGTAAAACTCCATCTCAAAAAAAGAAAGAAAGAAAGAAAGAATTACTCTATTTTATTTCATTAATTTATTTTTTAAAGACAGGATTTCACCATGTTGGTCAGGCTGGTCTTAAACTCCAGACCTCAGGTGATCCGCCTGCCTTGGCCTCCAAAGTGCTTGGATTACAGGCGTGAGCCAACAAGCCTGGCCCACAATAGCTATTTTTTTTACACAAAGATGGCTGTATAATTGTCAGTGACCAAACCTTTGGGGTTATTTGGGGAGGAGTTATCTGGGTGTAAAATGAATTGGATTCTAGTTACTCCCATCTCCCACTGCTGCATGGACATAGCCCACCTGAAGGCTCAAAGCTCTAAGATAGGAATGGGTGGGCTGTGCCCGCTTCACCAATTAGAGCACCTGGAGGAAGTGTGCTTAAAGTGAGGCCAAGCCTTCACCTAGGCACCTACGTTTTCACACTGCCATCTGCTCCGGGATAACTGGGCACTCAGATTGCCCTTGGCATTTGAAGCGTGTTCAACTAAATATGGCTGCCTTCCTATCGCCTTGATGTGAGGGCAGAAATAACACAGGAAGGAAAGGGCACACTTCAAGGCAGGAGATCCCTTCCAAGTGTCATCCTAGGCTGTTCAACAGTGACATGCCAGGCCGGGCGCAGTGTCTCGAGCCTGTAATCCCAGCACTTTGGGAGGCCAAGGCAGGTGAATCACCTGACATCAGGAGTTCAAGACCAGTCTGGCCAACATGGTGAAACTCCGTATCTTCTAAAAATGCAAAAACTAGCTGAATGTGGTGGCACACGCCTGTAATCCCACCTACTTGGGAGGATAAGACAGGAGAATCGCTTCGACCTGGGTGGTGGAGGTTACAGTGAGCTGAGATCACACCATGGCACTCCAGCATGGGCAACAGAGTGAGTGAAATTCCATCTCAAAAAAAAAGTGAGATGCCAGAGAGACTATGTATCACTTTTGTACCCCTGGGGAAACAGCTTTAATTTCATAGCAAACAGAAGTTATTTACTTAACTTTTTTTTTTTTTTTTTTTGAGATGGCGTCTGGCTCTGCCACCCAGGCTGGACTGCAGTGGTGTGATCTCCGCTCACTGCAACTTCTGCCTCCTGGGTTCAGACAATTCTCTGCCTCAGCCTCCCAAGTAGCTTACAGGTGCCCACCACCACGCCCGGCTAACTTTTGTATTTTTAGTAGAGACGGGGTTTCATCGTCTTGGCGAAGCTGGACTTGAACTCCTGACCTTGTGATCCCCCCGCCTCAGCCTCCCAAAGTGCTGGGATGACAGGCCTGAGCCACGGCGCCTGTCCAGCGCGCTTAGCAGGTTTGTGTCGTCATCTTTCCCTGCTGTGTTTCCTCGTCGTGTTTTGGCATATTTCATCCATGGAATGACCTCACCCTTTTGACCCAACTACAACTCCTTGTAGTTTCTAAATCTCAGGGAAGAAGGAGGGAGCAATTCCCTCTTCTTGAGCGTCATGATGCTGCAGATCCCTGGGCTGCCTCACAGGTCACCCCCTCACCACCCTCCTGCCCACCCCGGGAGCCGCATGGTCCTGAGAGACACAGAAGCCTTTTACTTGCTGGTGAACAACAAGAGCCTGGTCAGCATGAGTGCAACCATGGCAGAGATCTACAGGGACTACAAGGATGAGGACGGCTTCGTGTACAAGACCTACGCCTCCCAGGAGACGTTTGGCTGCCTGGAGTCATCAGCCCCCCTGGGATGGGAGCAGCCTTGAGGACAGACCCTGCAATCCTCTCTAGCCCATGTGGGGAAGAACAGGTGCTCTGACAGACGCATCAGCCGCTGGCAGAAGGGATTGGATTTCTCCTGTATGTATATGGAGGAGTCTGAGAAGCAGGGATGCTGGGAGTGATCAGGTCCAGCTATTGGCAGCAGAGTGGTGGCTCTTCCTAGTTTAGTTTTTGTGCTCCATGCTCTTGTGTTCTTCTAAGAAAAATGTGGGCTGCTCTTGAAAGTTTTGTAATTATAACTCTTTCTTTTTTTTTTTTTTTTTTTTTTTGAGACAGGTTCTTGCTCTGTTGCCCAGGCTGGAGTACAGTGGCACGATCTTGGCTCACCACAGCCTCTGCCTCCTGGGTTCAAGGGATTCTCCTGCCTCAGCCTCCTGAGTAGCTGGGATAACAAGTGCATGCCACCACACCAGGCCAATTTTTGTAATTTTAGTAGAGACGAGGTTTCACCACATTGGCCAGGCTGGTCTCAAACTCCTGCCCACAGGTGATCCACCCACCTCTGCCTCCCAAAGTGCTGAGATTACAGGTGTGAGCCACTGCATCCAGCCATATAACTCTATTCTAAATAAGAAATGGTTGGCTTGTGTGATGGCTTTGTGTGATGAGCTGGAGATAATATTTTTCAAGTGTCTTCTGTGCTATATGTGGGAGGGCCATTGGGGAGTGGATTTCACTCCCTGCATGTAGGCAGGGATGCCCTGCAGGGCTCAGGCCTAGAGAACCTCCAGCCTGTAGACTGCCTCTGTGGAACCCAATGAAGCCAGTGTGACCCATGGTAAGCTCACCTGGAGGCGCCCTCTCCTGTGTCATTAGAGAGATTAACCTGTTTCCCCAGCGTTCACTCTATGTGGTTATTTTCTCTTTTTGTCCTGCTATACCAGACATATTTATGCCAAAGCTGTAACTTCTCAACATAGTCATTTAAATGCACATGTTTACTAGGTGCCAAGCTTTACTCTGAAATAAACATTCTTTATTTTAAAGGAGCTTTATTCTTCGGCTTCTTACCACAACTCTCTATGGCTAACTACTGCTACAGTTGCCCACACAATGGGTGGGTGTGATCGCTTGGTGGGCGACGTCCACTGACTACCACCACGGAGGATGTAGCGAGGGGATGCATTAATTCTCACAAGTCAGGAGGGCACTGGGGATAGTTCCCACCGCAGTGCCTCCGGGAACAAAGGTGAACACAGGGCACTCACTGGGCTGGTTAGCTGAGTCACCGTATGCAGAGGCGGAGTCAAGGAGTGCAGGCGCAGTCACCGATCATGCCTCTCCACAGGCTGCAGGTACAGAGAATGGTGAATAATCCTGAGGAGTAGGTAAGGAGACATGAAAATGGCGAATAAGCTTCTCCTTAGAAGGGAATTTTTTTCCTCCATTAATGAGCCTTTTTATTATTGTCATGGTTTTTTTTAATTTTTTGGCTTTGTTTTGTTTTGTTTTTTGAGACAAAGTTTCACTCCTGGTGCTGAGGCTGGAGTGCAGTGGCGGGATCTCGGCTGACTGCAACCCCCACCTCCCAGGTTCAAGTGATTCTCCTGCCTCAGCCTCCCGAGTAGCTGGGATTACAGGTATTTGCCACCACGCCCAGTTAATTTTGTATTTTTAGTAGAGATGAGGTTTCTCCATGTTAGTCAGGCTGGTCTTGAACACCTGACCTCAGGTGATCCGCCCACCTGGACCTTGCAAAGTGCTGGGGTTACAGGCATGAGCCACCACACCTGGCTTTTTAAATTTTTTAATCGTAGGTTCCTTACTGGTTTTGCTTCCATGAGTGGCTGTGACCAGGGGAAAAGGGTGAGGAACGAGCCGGCAAGGAGGCGTCATCTCCACAACATTCCATTTATACACAGAACTAGACAAGCATAGAGTCACTATTGTGGTTAGAAGTTGGCAGCATGGGGCCGGGTGCAGTGGCTCACGCCTGTAATCCTAGCACTTTGGGAGGCCGACGCAGGCAGATTACCTGAGCTCAAGAGTTCCAGATCAGCCTGGGATACATTGTGAAACCCCAACTCTACTAAAATACAAAAACTTGGCCGGCTGTGACAGTGCATGCCTATAGTTCCAGCTACTGGAGAGGCTCAGGCAGGAGAATCGCTTGAACCTGGGAAGCGGAGGTTGCAGTGAGCTGAGATCACACACTGCACTCCGGCCTGAGCAACAGAACGAGACTCTGTCTCCAAAAAAAAAGTTAACAGCATGGGAAGGGGGAGGAACAGGGAGGGAGTAGGGTGTTGTTAAAAAAAGAAAAAAACAGGCCTCCTCACAACTGGGGTACCTGGAGGGAGCTTGGTCTGCTTCAACCCAAGAGGAATCAGAAGATCTAAAGCAGTTTAGGAAGGCTGGAACTGCCAGGAGTGAAGGGAGGAAAATCCAGGGAGTAGGGGGGTCTGTTTGGTAACCGGGTGAAGGGATTGCCCTCCCCCTACTGGGATGCCCCCAGCCCCTCCAGTCTGGCAGGAAGGGGGCAGCCTGCAACCCCTGAGGGCAGGTGTGGGGCTGCCAGATGCTCCAGGCAGGGGGCCAGAAGGGGCTCATAAAGGCGTGCTTCCAGGGAGATGATGGCACTGCCTCCCCTAGCCTCTCTGCTAGGATGCAGTGGGCCTTGACCTCCTCGTAGCAGTCTGCTTGTAATGCATGCTTGATCCCTGTCAGCTTCCTGATGGCATTTTTGGAGCTGGCATAGATCATTTTGCTCATAAGGGGTGCAGACTCAGAGGCCCGGAATATAAATACCAGGTCCTCCTTCTTGCTCTCCCTGCTCTCGTAGATTGCCTCATAGAGGGCATAGCGGCAGTCCTAATCTGGCAGCATCTTGATAAAAGTGGTGGAGGGGTCATGCAGGGTCTGGCCCACGTGTCACCCACCAGGATCTCACCGCCGTCCTGGGGGATGATGGTTTTCTCATCCTCGCTCACGCAGAAGAGCACTGCCTTCTTGTGCTTCTTCACCTTCTCTGGTGTCAAAGACTTAACACAGCTTCGTGTCATTAAACACCTTGATGACACCATCAGAGATGACTGAACCTTTTTTGCTTTGTTTGTTTTTTTTGAGATAGAGTCTCGCTGTGTCTCCCAGGCTGGAGTGCAGTGGTGCAATCGCGGCTCGTAGGCTCAAGAGATTCTCCTGCCTCCGCCTCCAGAGTAGCTGGTCCTACTGTGCACCACCACCCCTGGTCAATTTTTTAAATTTTTTGTTGAGCCAAGGTCTTGCTCTGTTGTCCAGGCTGTTCTCAAACTCCTAGGCCCAAGTGATCTGCCGGTGTTATCCTTCTAAAGTGCTGGGATTACAGGCGTGAGTCACAGTAATGGCCGGAAAGGGGATTTTAAGTGTGGGAATGAGAAGAGGTCTTCAAAGTTCAGCTCCAGCTCAGGCATCTCTGGATCCATTTGGTTTTTGTTTTTTCTTGGGGCTGAGCTTCTTCCTGGAACTTTTAGAAACAAGAACTCAAGGTGCAACCGGTTACAAGTGGGTTATGTTTTGTTCTTCTCTGTTTTTTTTTTTTTTGAGACAGAGTTTCGCTCTTGTTGCCCAGGCTGGGGTGCAATGGCACAATCTCGGCTCACCGTAACCCCGTCTCCCAGGTCCGAGCGATTCTCCTACCTCAGCCTCTCGAGCAGCTGGGATTACAAGCATGTACCACCGTGCCCAGCTAATTTTTAATTGTTTTATTGTTTAGTAGAGACGAGGTTTCTCCATGTTGGTCAGGCTGGTCTCAAACTCTGAACTCCTGACTTCAGGTGATCCACCCACCTTGTCCTCCCAAAGTGCTGGGATTACAGGCATGAGCCATCGCACCCAGCCACAGCAGGTATGTTTTCACAGTGCATACCCAACAAACGAGGGACACTGGATTATATTACTGTCATTTTACAGATAAGGAAATGGAGGCCCAGAAAGGCCAAGAATATTTTGCATTTTCACACAACATGGTCTCATCAGGACTTGAGGTTGGGGAGCCACATTTAGAAGCCATCCTTCTAGCTCTCTGCTGGACTCCCTACATAGGACAAGGTTAACTCTACTTGACAAGTACTGGATGCTTGAGCTACAGCATTGAGTGCCACCAGTGCCACCTACAGATAGGACAAGAGGTACTGTGGTGCTCCGTGATTGCATTAACAATAGGGTGTTTCAAGGCTGGGCATGGTGGCTCACACCTGTAATCCCAGCATTTTGGGACGCTGAGGCAGGTGGTTTGCTTGAGCTCAGGCATTTGAGACCAGCCTGGGCAACATGACAAAAACCCATTTCTACAAAAATATACAAAAATTAGCTGGGTGTGGTGTACACACCTGTAGTCCCAGCTACATGGCTGAGGCAGGAAGACCACTTGAGCCTGAGAGACAGAGGTTGCAATGAGCTGAGATCTTGCCACTGCACTCCAGCCTGGGTGACAAAATGAGACCCTGTCTCAAAACAACAACAACAAAAAAAATAGGGTGTTTCATTCATCAACAGTACAAGAACAAGTGCTTGGAGAGCATGCTCACTACACCCGGCTGATTTTTGTATTTTTAGTAGAGACGGGGTTTCACCATGTTGGCCAGGCTGGTCTCGAACTCCTGGCCTCAAGAGATTCACCCACCTCAGACTCCCAAAGTGCTGGGATGATAGGCGTGAGCCACCGTGCCCGGCCTCAGTTGGCTCACTCCCTCCGGGCCTGCTGTTTCTTCCTCCTGGCTACTTTCCCCACTCCCGGGTAGCTGCTCACCCTCTCTCCTGCCTGTGGCTGTCCTTGCCCTCCTGGCTTATCTGCTCTAGTCAGTTCCTCTAACATGTCCTTCAAGTTGTCTGTGCCATATACCAAGTAAAAACCCTGACTCAGGTTCCTTCTCCAGACATACTCTTATTGCTTAGCCTGGATTAATGAGTATTCTTCCCAAATAAATCTACTTTCTAGAGTGAATTTTTTCTTTTTGAGGCAGAGTCTTGCTCTGTTGCCCAGGCTGGAGTGCAGTGGTGCTATCTCGGCTCACTGCAACTTCCACCTCCCAGGTTCAAGTGATTCTCCTGCCTCAGGATCCTGAGCAGCTGGGACTACAGGCAGCCACCACCATGCCTGTAGTGATTTTTGTATTTTTAATAGAGACAGGGTTTCACCATGTTGACCAGGGTGGTCTCGAACTCCTGGCTTCAAGGGATTCACCCACCTCAGCCTCCCAAAGTGCTGGGATTATAGGCGTGAGCCACTCCTGGCCTAGGGTGGACTTTGAACTTGAGAAGCAATCTTTGGCCTTGGACACTCACCTAGCTGCTTATGCCCAGTGCTGCTTCTCATGCTCTCAGCCTTCTCCACTGCCTTGGTCTTTCTTGGCTCACAGAAGCGTAGGTTGTCACCACACTGCAGGTACGAGGTCCTCCCCTGGATATGCAGCTGGGTGAGCTTTCATGTTCTCTTTGCCTTCCAAGATCCTTTCTGATGTGGCTTCCCCTCGTACATTCATCAGAGAAATTAAGGATGGCTTCAGCTGCCTTGCTTAGGGTGGGCATTGTTCCGAAACCAGTTAATAACTCTGTATGAAACGACCACCCATTTTTTGTTTCTTTGTTTGTTTGTTTGTTTGAAACAGACTTTCACTCTTTTTGCCCAGGCTGGAAATCTCATTATCTCATGAGATAATCTCACCTCACTGCAAACTCTGCCTCCTGGGTTCCAGTGATTCTCTTGCCACAGCCTCCCAAGTAGCTTGGATCACAGGTGTGCTCCACCACGCCCAGCTAATTTTGTATTTTTGGTAGGGGCGGGGTTTCTCCATGTTGATCAGGCTGGTCTCGAACTCCTGACCTCAGGTTATCCACCTGCCTTGGCCTCCCAAAGTGCTGGGATTACAGGCATGAGCCACCACATGTGACCTAACCACCCATGTTTTATGCTCATGGAGGCTGTAGGTAAGAGGATTTCAGAAAGCCTACACGGTGACAGCTTGTCCATGTGCTAGGTACCACGGTGCCTGAGGACTCAGCCAGAAAGGTCTGAAAGCTGGGAGTGACTTAATGGCTGGGAGCTGAAATCACCCAGAGGCCTCTTCATTCCTGGGCTGGGATGACTCAAGGTTGGGCCCAGCTGGGATTGAAGACTGGGTGACTCCACATGGCCTCTCAGGAGGGAGCATGCAAAAAACCAACGCAGATGCTGACCTGTCAATAAGGGATGGATTACAATCATTTTTAGCCTGGATTTTTTTAAGCCTCTACTTAGGTACTTAAAATTAATCAGTGATTTGTTTTTTATTTTTTATTTGTATTTTTGGAGACAGAGTTTCACTCTTGTTGCCCAGGCTGGAATGCAATGCTGTGATCTCAGCTCACTACAACCTCCACCTCCTGGGTTCAAGCGATTCTCCTACCTCAGCCTCCCGAGTAGCTGGAATGACAGGCATGCTGGGATTACAACAGGCACGTACCACCATACCTGGCTAATTTCTTTATTTTTAGTAGAGACGGAGTTTCACCATGTTGGTCAGGCTGGTCTCAAACTCCTGACCTCAGGTGATTCCCCCGCCTTGGGCTCCCAAAGCGTTGGGATTACAGGTGTGAGCCAATGTGCCTGGCCTGTATGGGAGATTTTTAAGTGTGTCTTGTTTCTTTCACAAACAAAAGAAGCTAGTTCAGGCCTGGCATGGTGGCTCATGCCTGTAATCCTAGCACTTTGGGAGGTCGAGGCGGGTGGATTACTTGAGGTCAGGAGTTTGAGTCCAACCTGGCCAACATGGTGAAACCCCATCTCTACCAAAAATACAAAAAGTAGCCAGGTGTGGTGATGCATGCCTATAATCCCAGATACTTGGGAGACTGAGGCAGGAGAATCACTTGAACCCTCGGGGGCAGAGGTTGCAGTGAGCTGAGATCGTGCCACTGCACTCTGCACTCCAACCTGGGCAACAGAGTGAGACCCGGCTACCAAACTTCTCCCAACTTCAGTGTAATTGACATTTGGGCAAATAGCTCTTTGTTGTGGGAGGCTGCTGTGTGCATCCAGGCACGGCATGGTGGCTCACACTTGTAATCCCAGCACTTTGGGAGTGAGTCCAAGGTGGGCAGATCATGAGGTCAGGAATTCAAGACCAGCCTGACCAACATGGCCAAACCCATTTCTACTAAAATATAAAAATTAGCTGGACGTGGTGGTGCATGCCTATAATCCCAACTACTCGAGAAGTTGAGGCAGGAGAATCGCTTGAACCCAGGAGGTGGAGGTTGCAGTGAGCCAAGATTGCACCACTGCACTCCAGCCTGGGCAACAGAGCAAGACTCCGTCTCAAAAAAAAAAAAAAACTTTAAAAAATCTTTTTAAAAAGACAACATATTGAGCACATTCCTTGGCGCAGTACTGTATTTAGACAGCGTAGTGTCCTGGGAAGACCTGGAGCTTTGCCATCTGACAGACCTGAGTTCAGGAGGGTCTGCTCTGCCTTGCCCTGTCCTGGGGATCATTTAATCTCTGCACCAGGTTCTTCATCTGAAAACCTTCTAGTGTAGGCTTCAGAATAGAAAGACCTTCTGAACAGCCCATCATGAAGGGACTGGTACTTTTAGCTTCAAAGTTTGCATATCATCTATATGTTCCTCACAGGCAACGAGATCTCAGTTCTCAACAGCAGCAAGTTTCCAGCCGTCAGGACTGCGCTACGTGAAATTGCTTCCTCTGCCAGGAAAGCTCCAGCTGCTAGTTCAGAAGTGGTCTCCTTTGACACTGAGGTCAGTGCAGACAAAAACCAGCAGGTGGCACAGCATGGCTTCTTTGGGTTTGGGAATGGCCAAACAGTTTGTAGTCAATAAAAATAAATTCTCCTCAATTAATTTTTCTTTTTGAGATGGAGCCTTGCTCTGTCGCCCAGGCTGGAGTGCAGTGGTGTGATCTCTGCTCACTGCACCCTCCACCTCCTCGGTTCAAGTGATTCTCCTGCCTCAGCCTCCCGAGTAGCTGGAATTACAGGTGCACACCACCACGCCCAGCTAATTTTTGTATTTTTAGTAGAGATGGTGTTTCACTGTGTTGGTCAGGCTGGTATCAAACTCCTGACCTCATGGTCTGCCCGCTTCGGCCTTCCAAAGTGCTGGGATTACAGGCGTGAGCCACTGCACCTGGGCTTCATTTTTTGTACTTAACATTCTTCAGAGGCTGGGCATGGTGGTGCATGTCTGTAATCCCAGCACTTTGGCAGGTTGAGGTGGGAGATCAGGAGTTGAAGACCAGCCGGGCCAACATAGTGAAATCCACCCGCACCGTCTCTACTAGAAATACAAAACCTTGCTGGGCATGGTGGCAGGCACGTTTAGTCCCAGCTACCTGAGGCAGGAGAATCACTTGAACCTGGGAGTCAGAGGTTGCAGTGAGCCAAGATCGTGCCACTACACTCCAGCCTGGGTGACACAGCAAGACTGTCTAAAAAAAAAAAAAACCACACACATACAAAAAAAAATTCGCCAGGCGTGGCGGTAGGTGCCTGTAATCCCAGCTACTCAGGAGGCTGAGGCAGAAGAATCGCTTGAACCCAGGAGGCAGACGTTGCGGTGAGCTGAGATTATGCCATTGCACTCCAGCCTGGGTGACAGAAAAAAAAGAAAAGCCACATGAAGAAGTGAAGACATAGCAGTCACTAAAACACACTGTAAACACAAGGTCCAGGCGAACTTGAGGATAGTCCTTAAACACAAATAAATCTGTCTGCAGCTTTTGACATAAGAAGTAGAGTCCGAAGAAATGAGGCCAGACAAGTAGGTCATTGAGGACCTCACATAACATACCATGGAAGCTAGTAATTATCCAGTACGTAACTGGGAATCATAAAAGAGTTGTGGCCGAGCACGGTGGCTCACACCTGTAATTCCAGCACCTTGGGACGCTGAGGTGGGAGGATGGCTTGAGCCCAAGAGTTCAAGACCAGCCTGGGCAATGCAACAAAACCCCACCTCTTTAAAAAAAAAAAAAAAAGTGTTTCAGGAAAAGGAGAGTTACTGATTCAAATGCTTATCTCATCTGGAAAAAAAAGGAGAGTTGTATTTATTTATTTACTTTTATTTTAATTAATTTTTTGAGATGAACTCTTGCTCTGTACCCAGGCTGGAGTGCAGTGGCACAATCACGGCTCACCGCAACCTCTGCCTCCTGGGTTCAGGTGATTCTTGTGCTTCAGCCTCCTGAGTAGCTGGGACTACAGGCATGCACCAGCACAGGCTAATTTTTGTATTTTTAATAGAGACGGGGTTTCACCATGTTGCCCAGGTTGGTCTTGAACTCCTGAACTCAAGTGATCCAACTGCCTTGGCCTCCCAAAGTGCTCAGATTACAGGTGTGAGGCACTCTGCCCGCCCAAAGAGGCATACTTCTGGTTTCCACTTAAACTCACCCTGCTTTGTTATCCATGTTGGGAATTACACAGTAAGGGGTAAAGCTGTGTATCCTTCCATCCTCTGCCCTTGAGGACTACAAACTTTACGTTAAAAGTAAACCAGATAGAGGGCCAGGCATGGCATGGTGGCTGACGCCTGTAATCCCAGCACTTTGGGCAGCCAAGGAGGGTGGATCCCATGAGGCCAGGAGTTCAAAACCATCCTGGCCAACAAAACCCCATCTCTACTATAATACAAAAATTAGCCAGGCTTGGTAGTGCACTTCTGTAATTCCAGCTACTCCGGAGGCTGAGACAAAAGAGAATCACTTGAATCTAAGAGGTGGAGGTTGCAGTGAGCTGAGATTGCAACACTGCACTCCAGCTTGGGTGACAGAGCTAGACTGCCTCAAAAGAAAAAAATTGAAAGAAGAAAAAAATTTTTTTTTGGATGGAGTCTCACTCTGTCACCAGGCTGGAGTGCAGTGTCGAGATCTCGGCTCACCGCAACCTCCGCCTCCTGGGTTCAAGCAATTCTCCTGTCTCAGCCTCCTGAGTAGCTGGGACTACAGGTGTGAGCCGCCACGCCCAGCTAATTTTTGTATTTTTTAGTAGAGTTGGGGTTTCACCATGTTGGCCAGGGTGGTCTCGATCTCTTGACCTTGTGATCCACCCACCTCGGCCTCCCAAAGTGCTGGGATTACAGACATGAGCCACCGCACCTGGTCAGAAAATATCTTTACAATAGTGCAAAAGCTCTATGCTCTGAGATTTGACTTCTCTTAAAGAAGGGATTTGGAGTTTTCCAAATACAATCAGAAACCCAATTACAATGTAATTAGTCCTGGAAAAAACAGGGAGAAGGGCAGCTTTGCCCTTTTCTGCTCCACTACCCCACTTCTATTCCACTTTAGTCCATGAGTTTGAGACCAGCCTGGACAACATATGAAGACCCTGTCTCAATTTTAAAAAAATAAAAAAATTCAAGCCAGACCCTGTGGCTCACGCTTGTAATCCCAGCACTTTGGGAGGCCGAGGCAGGCAGATCATGAGGTCAGGAGTTCGAGACCAGCCTGGCCAGCACAGTGAAACACCATTTCCACAGAAAGGACAAAAATGAGCAAGGCATGGCGGCAGGCACCTGTAATCCCAGCTACTCAGGAGGCTGAGACAGGAGAATCGCTTGAACCCGGGAGGTGGAGGTTGCAGTGAGCCAAGATTGTGCTACTACACTCCAGCTGGGCAACAGAGCTAGACTCCATCTCAAATAAAAATTTTAAAAATTCTTCAGATTAAACCCTGAGAATTCCTGTTCTAACTAGTCCCCTTCCAAGGACATTCCCAATTAACCTAAGAAAATTAAGCTTCCTGCCCCATACTGCTCTGTAGAGAAACAGGGAAACACCAGCTGGGCATATCTGGCAACATTTTGAGCAGTAAAAGCAAAAGTTTGGGGTTGTGAAAACCAGATTTATTTATTTGGATATGAGACTGGATTGGTCTTTGGAAATTTTCCTAAACCTCAGTGCCATTTTTAGCATCTTTTAGAGATGCAAAATATTTTAACTCGGTGGCACAGAAACGGATTCTACGTGGCAGAGCGTGGGATGACTGACTTCCCTCCGTGGAACTAGCCTGTATTTGGGCTGCAGCTGACAGCTGCCGCACCTCAGTAAACATTGATAATTCAAATCAGCTTTGCCCAGAGCAGAGGTCCACAAACTTTTTCTGGAAGGGACAAAATGGTCAATATTTTACACTCAAAAGTTGCCTGCCACAACTCACCGACTCTGCCATTACAGTCCAAAGCAGCCGAGACGACACGTAAATAAATGGCTCTGGGATAGAATTACCCTTATGGGTCCTGAAATTTGAGTGTCCTGAAATGTTATTTTTCTTTTGTTTTTTTTTCCCCCCAATCATTTGAAAATGCAAAAAGCATTCTTAGAGAGCTGTATAGAAATAGGTAGTCGGCTGGATTTGGCCTCTGGGCCCAGTTTGCTGACCTCAGCTGCATCAAGGGCTCTGAAATGTCAGTACTCATCAGCATCCACTTGGAGGGTTTATTTCATTTTTTTTTTTGTTAAGCCTACAACTCACAGAATTGGAGGACTTATCCGGGCGTGGTGGCTCATGCCTGTAATTTCAGCACTTTGTAATCCTCAGCCTGTAATTCCGGCTGAGGTGAGCAGATCACCTGAGGTCGAGAGTTCGAGACCAGTCTGACAAACATGGAAAAACCCTGTCTCTACCAAAATACAAAATTAGCCAGGCGTAGTGGCACATGTCTGTAATCCCAGCCACTCAGGAGGCTGAGGCAGGAGAATCGCCTGACCCCAGGAGGCAGAGGTTGCAGTGAGCCAAGATCACACCACTGCACTCCAGCCTGGGCAACAAGAGCAAAACTCCTTCTCTCAAAAAAGAAAGAAAGAATTGGAGGATTTACCTCAAACCGGATTGCCAGGCCTCACCCTAAGGGTGACTTTCTGAGTCAGAAAGTCTAAGACAGAGGTCCCCACCCCCCAGTCCATGGACAGTAAAGGTGAGTGGCCTGTTAGGAACCAGGCCGCACAGCAGGAGGCGAGTGGCAGGCCACTGAGCATTATGGCCTGAACTCCGGTCAGATCAGGGGCGGCACCTGATTTTCACAGGAGTGTGAGTTCTATTGTGAACCGAGCATGTGAGGGCTCTAGGTTCCTGGCTCCTTAGGAGACCCTGATGCCTGATGACCTCATGGGGAGCAATTCATCCCAAAACTATCCCCCATCCCACCACCTCTGCCCTAGGACTGGGTTCTGTCTTCCACAAAGCTAGTCCCTGGTGTCAAAAAGGTTGGGGATCACTGATTTAGAGCGTAGGGTGGAGCTGGAACAACGTTCCCGCCCCCATACCCATTCCATTCACAGCCTCAGGGGCCTGAACGGTTTAAACACATTTCCAGGTGACCTGTTGCTATAGGTCTGGCCTAGAACTTTTTTTTTTTTGAGACAGAGTCTCTCTCTGTTGCCCAGGCTGGAGTGCAGTGGTGCGATCTCAGCTCACTGCAACCTTCACCTCCTGAGTTTAAGCAATTCTCCTGCCTCAGCCTCCTGAGCAGGGGGACTACAGGCACCCACCACCATGCCCAGCTAACTTTTTGTATTTTAGTAGAGATGAGGTTTCGCCATGTTGCCCATGGTGGTCTCAAACTCCTGAGTTCAGACAATCCACCCGCCTTGGCCTCCCAAAGTGCTGGGATTACAGGGATGAGCCACCGTGCCTGGCCTGACCTAGACCTCTACAAAGGCTGCTGTCTTGTTTCATTCAACCGCTTGAGGTTCCAGCCCCAAGGACAATCATGTTGTATAAGGACTTATAAGTGTTATATTTATCCTTCATTAGCCACATCTGTGGTACAGAAAGTCAGGGCTGAGTCTTCATCAGAGGGGCCTTGGGACAAGAGGGAAGCAAGACAAAAAGAAATATTCACATCCAGGCAGACAGCAGGTCCAGGAAGAGAGTACAAAGTGGATTCCGGGGCAGCCTGAGTCTTCTAGGAGTGCCAGTGAAGCAACCACCTAACCCTGGCCTGGAATTGGGTCCTGGCTCTGAGTTCAAGGCAGCCTCAGCTCAACACACTGGAGGGGCAGGGGCGGGCTCTGTAAGGGTGGGGCCTGGAATATGTGTAGGGCCAGGATCAGTCTCTCTATCATCTTTGCACAAACTTGCTTCACCAGAGACAAGGAAAACCAAGATTGTGAAAACAGAATCTAAGTGGATTTTGGCCAGATCCAAATTTCTTTTTTGTTTGTTTTGATGGATTTTTTTTGTTGTTGTTGTTGAGACAAAGTCTTGTTCTTGTCACCCAGGCTGGAGTTCAATGGCACAATCTTGGCTCACTGCAATGTCCACCTTGTGGGTTCAAGTAGTTCTCCTGCCTCAGCCTCCCCAGTAGCTGAGATTACAGATGCCCAGCTAATTTTTGTATTTTTAGGAGAGATGAGATTTTGCCATGTTGGCCAGCCTGATCTTGAACTCCTGACTTTGTGATCTGCCCACCTCGGCCTCCCAAAGTGCTGGGATTACAGGAGTGAGACACTGTGCCCAGCTGGAGATTGTTTTTAAATTGTGTTTGCTATTTTAAAAAATTAGCCAGGCATGGTGGTGGGTGCCTAGAATCTTAGCTAATCCAGAGGCTGAGGCAGGAGAATGCCTTGAACCCAGGAGGTGGAGGTTGCAGTGAGCGGAAATTATGCCACTGCACTCCAGTCTAGGTGACAGAGCGAGATTCTGAGTCAAAAAAATAATAATAATAAGTAAATTGTGTTTGATGTATGCTTTACCTGGTGGTCATTTTCTGTTGCAAAGTGTTTTCACAGTGGTATGGAAGCCAGGGGGCTGTGTATCCGATTCTCAGAGCAGCCACGTGGCGGTGTGATTGATCTAGGCTCCCATTACTGTTATTAAGGAGGGAAAACTTTTCCTCTGCTTTCTTAGGTCCAGTGTCTGGGGGCCTGCAAATAAAATGAACAACAACAAAAAAAAAAAAAGAAAACCTTAACAGGAGAAAAATCACATCATTTTTATTAATGTTTATAAACATTGTATGAAAGTTCACAAAAAAGATATGAAACTTGAAAAAGCAGTTAGGCTCTGGGAATTTATATGCCTTTTATCAAAATACAGATCTGAGTGTGGTAGCTCATGCCTGTAATCCCAGCACTTTGGGAGGCTGAGGGGAGAGGACTGCTTGAGCCCAAGAGTTTGAAGAGTTTGAGATTAGCCTGCACAACATGGCAAGATCAGAGTCTGGCTCTGTCGCCCGGGCTGGAGTGCAGTGGTGTGATCTCGGCTCCCTGCCACCTCCGCCTCCTGGGTTCAAGCAACTTTTGTGCCTCAGCCTCCCAAGTAGCTGGGATTTTAAGCAGGTGCCACCACACCTGGCTAATTTTTGCATTTTTAGTAGAGATGGGGTTTCTCCACACTGGCCAGGCTGGTCTCAAACTCCTAATCTCAGGTGATCCACCCGTCTCGGCCTTCCAAAGTGCTGGGATTACAAGCAGGAGCCACGGTGCCTGGCCAGCACAGCAAGATCTTAGCTCTATAAAAACAAGAAAAAGAAATTAACCAGGCACAGTCAGTGTGTCTGCAGTCCAAGCTACTCAGAAGGCTGAGGTGGGAGGATCCTTTGAGCCCAGGAGGTTGCAGAGAACTATAAGCACACCGCAGCACTCCAGCCTGAATGACAAAGCAAGACCCTTTCTGGAAAAAAAGAAAGAAAAAGAAAAGGAGTTTGGCATTTGACAGAAAATAAATTGTGGAGAAGTGACCAGGAAATAAATGGGAGAACAGTGAAAGATAAGAGCTATTCTAGTAAGGTACTTCTCTTTATGCACATTTACCTACTTTTTTTTTTCAGAGACAGAGTTTCACTCTTCTTGCCCCGGCAGGAGTGCAATGCCACCATCTCCAGCCTGGTTCAAGCGAGTCTCCTGCCTCAGCCTCCCGAGTAGCTGGGATTACAGGTGCCCACCACCACGCCCAGCTAATTTTTGTATTTTTAGTAGAGATGGGGTTTCACCATGTTGGCCAGGCTGAACTCGAACTCCTGACTTCAGGTGATCCACCCTCCTCAGCCTCCCAAAGTGCTGGGATTACAGACTTGAGCCGCCATGCCTAGCCAGGCATACTTCTCTTTATGCAAATTTACCTCAGTGTTGAGTCTTTATCTCCAGTGGTTCAAGTAGCTCTTTGGGGAGGGGCAGGAGGGAAGCATCATCACAAAGAGAAATTTATGCCCTGCTTTCAGGCAGATAAGGGAAGGGTGGAGAATTCTTCCTGCATCTGATGATACTCCAGTGCCTTCAACTCAAAATAATCCTTAGGCCAAGGCAGCGTATTCTGGGCCGACGTATCCTAAGCCCTTCCTTCCCATCATCACTGGTTTGGGAATCGGCCTGCTAGGACGTGAATACTATTTCCCCCACTCGCTCTGTGACTTTGGTAAAGTTACTTAACATTCCGTATGCCTCAGAACCCCCATCTGCAAAAACAGTGGTAAAAATAGCACCTATCTCATAGACTTCATGGAGATGTAATGAGTTATATGTGTAATGAGCTTAAAATAATGCCTGACACCGACTGATTAAGCACTAAACAACCATCAGCCAGTACTGCAAGGCTCTTAGCAGGCGCTGGGCTTCCATACATGACTGATTCATGGGGCTCTTATAAATGGAGGCTATCTCTATTTTCTATTAGACTTTGAGAATTCCACCTTGTCCCTACAAAAAGTGTGGCAGTAAGCACTTGAGACTCTACAATGGCCTGAGAGATGAGAGTCCAGTCAGTTTGTTCCTCAGGCTGGGGTTCTTTGGGGTTCCCACTGCTCTGATACTGCTCTGATATTTAAAATTCATAAACTTATCTGGGTGCGGTGGCTCACATCTGTAATCCCAGCACTTTGGGAGGTTGAGATGGGTGGATCACCTGAGGTCAGGAGTTCAAGACCAGCCTGACTAACATGATGAGACCCCGTCTCTAGTAAAAATACAAAAATTAGCCGGGCATGGTAGCGGAGACATGGTAGCAGAGACAGAAGAATCGCTTGAACCTGGGAGGCAGAAGTTGCAGTGAGCAGAGATCGCATCACTGCACTCCAGTGTGGGCAACAGAGTGAGACTCCATCTCAAAAAAAAAAAAAGCTTTTTACTTTTGCACTGACCTAGAAAAATAAAAAATAAAAAAAATGTGGGGTGCATATGTATATGTGTATATATATTCTTCTTTATATGTACATAATGGAATATTAGCCTTAAAAAAAAGAAGATTCTGCCGTATGTAACATGAACAGTGGCTCATGCCTGTAATCCCAGCACTTTGGAGGCCAAGGCAGGTGGATCATGATGCCAGGAGTTCAAGAACAGCCTGGCCAACGTGGTGAAATCCCGTCTCTACTAGAAATACAAAGATTACCTGGGCATGATGGCGTGCAGCTGTAATCCTAGCTACTCGGGAAGCTGAGGAGGAGAATCACTTGAACTGGGGAGACGGAGGTTGCAGTGAGCCCAGATCACGTCACTGCACCCCCGCCTGGCAGACAGAATGAGACTGTCTCAAAAATAAATAAATAGGCCGGGCACAGTGGCTCACACCTGTAATCCCAGCACTTTGGGAGGCCGAGGCGGTTCAAGAGATCAAGACCATCCTGGTCAACATGGTGAAACCCCGTCTCTACTAAAAATACGAAAAATTAGCTGGGCATGGTGGTGCACGCCTGTAGTCCCAGCTACTCGGGAGGCTGAGGCAGGAGAATTGCTTGAACCCAGGAGGCGGAGGTTGCAGTGAGCCGAGATCATGCCATTGCACTCCAGTCTGGGTAACAACAGTGAAACTCTGTCTCAAAAAAATAAAAATAAAAATAAAAAATACATAGAAGAAGAATACAATAAATGGTGGTTACCAGTACAGTATAATGGCAGGGTTGGGATTTGGGGAAGAACGAGGAGTTACAGATCAAAGAGTACAAAGTTGCAGTTATGCTGACGGATGTCTGGGGGTGTAGTGTACAGCATAAGGACTATTGTTAATACTGTAGTATATATTGGAAATTTGCTAAAAGAGTAAATGACTATAGTAATCATTTAAACTATGTATGCATAGACAAGCATCACGTTTTGTACCTTAAATACTTACAATATAGCTCAAATCAGTGACTCCAGCTACAAGACCCAGCACAGCATAGCTCCATTCACTCCTCCAGCTTCACCTTACACCACTGTCTGCAGTGCTCCGTATCTGCGGCTTGATCTTCCTCTTCTCCTTTTTCCCAGCCCCAGGCTTTCTTGTAGTCCTTATCCCCACTGTAGGTCAATTTTAATTTGTGAGCTGTTTGATTGACCTCTGTTTCTCCTACCAGACTAAACAAGTGTGTGTGCAAAATATTCATCAACCCTGAGCACCCAGCATCCGGCACAGCTCCTAGGACTTGTAGGCACTTGGAAAACACATGCAGAATGAATGAAAGAGTAGGAGTGACTGAAGAAGTCATTGGAGAATGTCCCATACTGCAGGCTTGTTGAGGTGGCTTAGTTGGTACTTTACTGAGAAGGCACTGGCAAGCTGGCTTTACTAATAGTTCTTACCATTCACTGTGCCCACTATGACTCAATAAGCACTGATTAAACACTAACTGTGTGGTCAGTGCCCTGAGGTTGGCACTGTCACAGGCCTGTGAACCAGAGCAACTCCATCTTGAGTAGGGGCTGGGTGGGGTGTTGAACAATGAGAACACGTGGACACAGGGAAGGGAGCATCACACACTGGGGTCTGTGCGAGAGAACTAGAGGAGAGACAGTGGGGGTGGGGAGTTGGGGAGGGATAACATGGGGAGAAATGCCAGATATAGGTGATGGGGAGGAAGGCAGCAAACCACACTGTGGTGTATGTACCTATGCAACAATCTTTTTGTTTGTTTGTTTGTTTGTTTATTTTATTTTATTTTTAAGACGGGGTTTCACCATGTTGGTCAGGCTGGTCTTGAACTCCCAACCTCAGGTGATCCGCCCGCCTTGGCCTCCAAAGTGCTTGGATTACAGGCGTGAGCAACCACGCCCAGCCCTATGCAATAATTTTGCGTGTTCTTCACATGTACCCCAAAACCTAAAATGCAATAAAATATATAATAATAATTTAAAAATGAGGCTGAGACCTACTGGACTGCATTCCCAGATGGTGAAGGCATTCTAAGTCACAGGAGGAGACAGGAGGTCGTCACAGGATACGGGTCATAAGACCTTGCTGATAAAACAGGTTGCAGTAAAGAAGCCGGCCAAATCCCACCAAAACCAATATGGCCACGAGGTCATCCTCACTGCTACACTCCTGCCAGCACCATCACAGTTTACAAATACCATGGCAATGTCAGGAAGTTTTCCTATATGGTCTAAAAAGGGGAGGCATGAATAATCCACCCCTCGTTTAGCATATCATCAAGAATAACCATAAAAATGGGCGGCCAGCTGCCCTCAGGGCTGCTCTGTCTGTAGAGGAGCCACTCTTATTCTTTTACTTTCCTGTTAAACTTGCTTTCACTTTTTTCTGTGGACTCGCCCTGAATTCTTTCTTGCACAAGATCCAAGAACCCTCCCTTGGGGTCTGGATTGGGACCCCTTTCCTGTGACAGCACTAGCCATAGCAATGGACACAACGGCCAGAAAGCTCTCACTCCATGAAGCACCAGACATGTATAATGTAATTATTTTGTTGTTACTTTGCATTTTGATCGAATTTCCAAATCAGAGGTGAACTCCAAGATTAGTACAAGGGTCTTCCCCCATGGCCTTCCCTAAGATTCACAAATGGATTTTATTTTGCTCCATTTTGAGGGAAAATTTTCCTTTTAATGTTAAACTTTAATGAACAAGTTTAGAGAAATTTTGGGAAAGAATAATTTGGGGGTGTAAATGAGTTAGCAACATTTAGCACTGTGGCCAGTTGCTGTGGAATGTTTTATTCATACAATTTCTTTTCTTCCTAATTATGAGAAACTGAGCTGACCATATTGTCTATAAACTGGGGTGGCTGCACCCTCAGCATGGTGCCGGGGAATGGATTAATGATAGTGGAGCATATTTGAATAATATTTGATGAAAGACATCACGCACAAGTGAAATATGCATACTCCCTTTTCCCGGCTCCTAGAGCTCACAGCTGTGACCAATTTTATTTTCATTAGCAGGATTAGCGAACATTTTCCTTGCCTGGTTTCCACTTCCCTTGTGGTGGGATCTTGCCCTCACTCTCCCCTCCATCCCCAGCCCCAGCTTCCAGCAGTCACATGTGCGCGTGTCCAGCTGCCTTTGCCATTGCATCATTTGTGAGCTCCCGTTGGCACGGCAGCATAAGGGAGTTGGTGGCTATGTTTTCCTCCATGAAGGTGGCTGCATTCCTCATCTCAGCAGTTCAGCATTCTCAGCTGACCCACAATTTGATGTCCTTTGGTTAATATTCATGTCCTATTGGAGCTCTTTTCATTTTCCTTGCTACCTTTCCCCCCAACATTTTGTCTCATTCAGGAGAGCCATGTTATACAATGCAATGGACGATGACCAGAAAGCCCCCACCTCATGAAGCACCAGATATTTATTATCTCATTATTTTTTCTCATTCAGGAGACACTATGTGGGGTTTCTATTCCTTTTTGTCTGTTTGTTTTGTGTTTTCTGAGATGGAATTTTGCTCTTCCTGCCCAGGCTGGAGTGCAATGATACAATCTTTGCTCACCACAACCTCCATCTCCCGGGTTCAAGTGATTCTCCTGCCTCAGCCTTCCAAGTAGCTGGGATTACAGGCATGCACCACTACATCTGCCTAATTTTGTATTTTTAGTAGAGACAGCATTTCTCCATGCTGGTCAGGCTGGTCTTGAACTCCCGACCTCAGGTGATCCGCCTGCTTTGACTTCCCAAAGTGCTGAGATTACAGGCATGAGACACCACACCCAGGCTTTTTTTCTTTTTTTTGAGATGGAGTCCTGCTCTGTCGCCCAGGCTAGAGTACATTGGCCCAGATTCAAACAATTTTACTGCCTCAGCCTCCCAAGTAGCTGGGATTACAGGTGCCTGCCACCACGCCTGGCGAAGTTTAGTATATTTAGTAGAGACAGGGTTTCACCATGTTGGCCAGGCTGGTCTCGAACTCTTGACCTCAAATGATCTGCCCGCCTTGGCTTCCCAAAGTGCTAGGATTATAGGTGTGAGCCACCGCACCCGGCCAGTGCAGTCCCTTTCTTGCATGCTGCTCACTGCTGCGCTATCCAAACCGACGCCCATCCCCAAACTGACTGAGGTGTTTTCAGACGATTCAAATCACTCATTTAGGTTTTTTAAATCTGTTAGGCTTCATGATGTGTATTGGACCACAACTGCGAGGGAATAAACTTTAAGACAGAGTTAAATGGTCTACAATTGCAGAAGTACCCAGGTAACTATATTCTACTTCAAGAAGGCTTCTTGGCCAGGTGCAGTAGCTCAGGCCTGTAATCCCAGCACTTTGGGAGGCCAAGGCAGGCGGATCACCTGAGGTCAGGAGTTTGAGATCAGTCAGACCAACATGGAGAAACCCCGTCTCTACTAAAAAGGCAAAATCAGCCAGGTGTGGTGGTGCACTCCTGTAATCCCATTTACTCAGGAGGCTGAGGCAGGAGAATCTCTTGAACCCTGGAGGTGGAGGTCACAGTGAGCCAAGATTGTGCCATTGCATGCCAGCCTGGGCAACAAGAGCAAAACTATGTCTAGAAAGAAAGAGAGAGAGAGAGAGAGAGAGAGAGAGAGAGAGAGAGAGAGAGAAGTCATATCTTGGTGAGAGACAAAAACATATTTGCAATTGGTCATTTTGTTCATTTTCCTAAGAATAGTTTAGCTTTAAGTGTGTTATTGCAGCTGGGTATGGCAGCTCACACATGTAATTGTGGCGCTTTGGGAGCCAAGGTAGGAGGATCACTTGAGCCCAGGAGTTGAGGCTAGCCTGGGCAACATGGTAAGACCCCATCTCTACAAAAATATGGTAAATTAGCCAGACATGGTGGTGTGCACCAGTAATCCCAGCTAATGGGAAGGCTGATGCAGGAGGCTCACTTTAGCCCAGGAGTTTGATGCTTCAGTGAGCTACAATAGTCCCACTGCACTCCAGCCTGGGTGACAGAGTGAGACGCTGTCTCTAAAGGAAAAACAAAACATGTGTTAATACTCTCCAGCCAAAGGCCACCAGCAATGCACCAGTAGTTGAACAAGCTGGGTTATTCACCCATCACAGTGAGGGAGAATACACAGAAGGGGCATCAGTAAAAGGGTGATGGAAAGGTGGGACAGGGTTTGGGTGTGTATTAGGCAATTTTGGGAGGGGTTAGAGAAATGGTTTTGCTCTGGATTGGATGCTGTCAGGATGCTGGGGTAATTAGACATCTTCATCATTCTTATCTATAAGAGAAGAAGAATTAAGGGAGGCAAAGGCTTTAATTGAGAAGAAGCAGCAGGTCAGTCACAGTGACTCACACCTCTAATTCCAGCACTTTGGGGGATCAAGGCATGTGGATAACCTGAGGTCAGTAGTTTGAGACCAGCATAGTTTGTGAGCAACATGGCCAAACTCTGTCTCTACTGAAAAATACAAAAATTGGCCAGGCGTGATGGCAGATGCCTGTAGTCCCAGCTACTCAAGAGGCTGAGGCAGGAGAATCACTTGAACCCAGGAGGCGGAGATTGCAGTGAGCTGAAATCACACCACTGCACTCCAGCTTGACAAGAGTGAGACTCCCTCTCAAAAAAGAAAAAAAGGCCGGGCACAGTGGCTCACGACTATAATCCCAGCACTTTGGGAGGCTGAGACAGGTGGATCATAAGGTCAGGAGTTCGAGACCAGGCTGACCAACAAGGTGAAACCCCATCTATACTAAAAATACAAAAATTAGCCAGGCATGGAGGCAGACACCTGTAGTCCCAGCTACTTGGGAGGCTGAGGCAGGAGAATTGCTTGAACCAGGGAGGCAGAGGTTGCAGTGAGCCAAGATCACACCATTGCACTCCAGCTTGGGTGACAGAGCAAGACTCTATCTCAAAAAAAAAAAAAAAAATAGTAATCTCATCTATTACTTTTTATTTATATTTGCGTTTAATGTAGAAATTACATATATTCTATGTATAGATGTGAGGTCTCATTCTGTCACCCAGACTGGAGTGCAGTGGCAGTCATGGCCCACTGCAGTCCGGAACTCCTAGGCTCAAGCAACCCTCCCACCTCAGCCTCCCTAGTAGCTGGGACTACAGATGCATGCTGCTTAGCTAAAACCTCACTGTATTGAGGGAGAGATTAAAGTCCAGACAGGGAGAATGAGGTGCCTGGAGTTGAATGGGCTTCATCTACTAACAGTCCTCGAGCTGACTTCCCATTAGCAGCCTTCTCTGCCATTTGTTGGCACCCCTCAATGCTTGAGCTGGCACTGAACTAACTTACCCTACACACCCCCACCTTTGTCACACACACACACCCTTCCATCCTCCAGCACAACTTCCCATCCACCTAGGGCACAGCTTCCATTTATGTGTA